GGGCAGCAGCTGGCGTGGCACAGGGGGGGGGGGGGCGCGAGGGGCCGGCGCCGCGGGTCGGCTCACCCAGCAGCTGCTTGTTGGCCGCGCGCTGCGCCAGCACCGCGGCGGCGTCCCTTGAGAAGGCCTCACAGGTCGCGCTCAGCTTTGGGGCATCCTGGAGTGGCGTTGAGGCCGATTGCATGCGAAGAAGGGGGAGGTTCATGGGGGAGGTGCATGCGCACGCTGCCACGCCCCAAGCTCTTTCAGCCGGACTGGTGCGAACAGGCCGGCCGCGCACGCGCCGCTTCTGCATGCGCAGCGACGCCTCGCGTGCCTCCTCGACAGCGCCGAGCCGCGCGGCGGGCCCGCCGGCCCCGACGCAGCAGCGGCGCGCGGGCGAGGGCGCACGCGTGTGCCCCCCGCGGCGCACCTCCTGCAGCGCCTCCAGCCGGGCCAGAGCGTCGGCGAGGGCGTCCCGCACCGACCCGAGGCATTCGGCGCCGTCGATAAGCGCGCGGTAGTGCGTCAGCGCGCTCGCCTGCAGCGCACGCTCTAGCTGGTGGCGCTCCTCGGCCAGCAGCTCTGGCTCCTGTGTGTGGACAAACAGTTGATGTTTGTGCGGGGGCGCACAGCGCTGGAATGAAAGCGAGGGTGGGCGGCCGGCCGCGGGGAGCGGTGCTGCAGGGTCAGCGTCCGGGCTCGGGGATCAGGCCGTTGCAGTGGTGCACCTTGCGCAGGCGGTCAAGGCTGTAGGAAAGCAGCTCCGTGAGGTACACGTCGGCGTGCTTGCCGGCCGCGGCAGTGGGGCTGCCGCCCTGCAGCGCGAGCGAGCCGCGGCGCTGCAGCTGCGGCCCGCCCGCGGATCCCGCGTGCAGCAGCGGCGCGGTGCCGATGCTGGGCCGGCCTGTAATGACTGGAGGCATGCCGCTCATCCTTCCTCCCTGCTCCATTGCTGCCGGCGAGCCCACAGCCAGGCTATGCTTGCAGCAGATCACGCGAAAGCGCGGATCATGAGGACTGGCAGTGTGGAAAATTAAAATCTCAAGCAATGAGCCCTCGTTGAGGGTGCTGGCCTGCCATATATATCACACACCGTTCTCACCAGACACCTGACTAGGAAAACCAGCGTGGTGTCTCATCAATCTTCTTGAAGAGGCCAAGACTTGCATACGATCATCATATACATGCTTTGCTGCTTGTGGACGTGTACCATCACTGCTGTACGCATAGCTGACCTTTTGCTGCCGTAGCGGTCTCGCCGTGACAATACGCCCTTCTCCGTGCAAGGGCCCCTCTTCTCCGCCAACACGACATGGTGGAACCGCTGACGGCTACAGAGGGCTCCTGGTTCGCGTATCTGACCCCGAGGTGGGGCCTCGGTGTCACCCGACCAGCCTTCCGGACTGCGTGCCACGGCTGTCCCTCTCGGCGCGTGAAAAACGATTGAGCCCGTGCATGGGCGGCGCGGCACGCGTGCGCCTTGCGATCGATTCCGCTGCGCATCGCGCCAGCAATCTGCGCTCGTTTGGGCCGCCGCTGCTGCCAGGCGCCTTTGGGCCGCCGCTGCATCAGATGCTCCTGGCATCTCTGAGCTTGTTGCACGCCCTTGCGTTCCACATGGGCAGGCCCACTGGGGTGGCCGGCTGGCTGCTGCCCCGCAAGGACAGCGCCAAGAAAGTTGCACGCCTCATCTCAGCCGTGTCTGCCAGGTGCGTTCGCTCAACTTGACCGCTCCCAGCATTGAGCAGCTGGCGGCGACATCAGCGCGGGGTGCATAACCTCACCTATCCCACAGTGCAGCAGTGCCACAACCAGACCATGCATCCGAGGCCGTGCGCTGCCTTTGCGTTTGTCCCCCTCGCAGCTGGCAAGATGATGCCCCTGTCGCTGACCTGTCGGCGAGCTTCAACGACGCCAAGCTGCCCGCCTCCTGCCCGGCCCCCACCACCGCCGCCGCAACCGCCGCCGCGGGCGGCGCCGCCGCGGGCGCGGCCGTCGCGCCTGGGGCCTGTCCCGGCGGGCAGGCGGTAACGAACAGCTCGCACTCCTTCATATTCCCCTGCGGCGGCCTTACTGTGAGCAACCCCCATCACTGCCGTGGACTCTTGCAGCCTCAACATCCTCCCTTCAGCACAAACAAAGCATGCTTGTTCCTCATACCGCGCGCTTTGGGCTCGCTTTACGACCTGGCTTCTCGCATGTCGCTCGCCGTCACCCCATGCGTGCGACACGGCGGCACCCCCCCATCCGCGCTCCATCCAACCAGGTGAAGCAGGGGCTGTACAGCCTCGCGTCAGACCTGTACCGCGTGGCCCCCTTCGTGCACTGCGCGCCAGACAGCAGCGCGGCCGTCGCGTTTGTGGGCCACCTCTCAAACCTGCAGGTAGGGCTGCGCGCTGGCGTACGCCTGCATGCATGACACAGCCAGCGTCATCCCACCTTGCGCCCTGCCCCCGCATGCACCCCGCTCCCCTGCCCCGGAGCGCCCTCCCCCTTGCGCGGCACCGAAGCCCCCGCGCATCGGCCCTGATCCTCTCAATAGGAGCTGGCCGCGCGTTACTGCAGCCCCTCGGGCACCCCCAAGCGCGCCGGATCCGACGACAACAACTACCCTGCGCCCGCGGGCAGCCTCGCGCGCGCGGGGTCGATCGGGCGCAGCCGCGACATGGGGGCGCTGACGGCGGCCGTGGTGCTGAGCATGTACCAATCAGAGGACGAGCTGGTGCTGCTGAGCGAGCTGCAGGTGGGGCCAGCAGACGGTGGCGGTTGTGGTGGTTGTTGTGGTGGTATAGGATGGGATGGTGGTGGTGGTGGCGGTGGTGGCGGTGGTGGTGCATCTGCAGGAGGTGGCAGTGGGGGGGGTGGAGGTGGCGGTCGTGGTTGATGCATTCGAGCGTGCGTGCGTTGAGGGGATGGACAGCAGGAGTTTTTGTGCAGGGTGCCTTCATAGTTGTTGGTTGTATGTGTGTGAGAGAGGATGTGTGTGAGTGTGGGGTGCGCGTGCATGCGCGCACGCATGCATGCATGCATGCGTGCGTGAGTGCATTCGCCTGTTTGCACTGGTTTTGCCCAGGTGTTCGGTTTCCGGACCAGCTACCCGGCGTTGCTTCAAGCCAACTCGCCACCACAAGCAGTCCACCCAGCAGTCTGCGAAGCAGTGCAGGTGCCAGACCCGCTGCCGCGCGCTGCTCTCATCTCATCGTCACCTCCCCCTGCAGGGCCAATTCGCGTTCATCGTGCTGGACAACGCGAAGAGGCAGGCGTTTGCGGCGCGCGACCCCTCGGGCGCAGAGACCCTCTTCTACCGCATCGGGGACGACGGTGAGCGCCTGTGGCACTTGGCAACCCCGGTCCCTCAACCAACTGTTGTGTGTTTGCAGGGGACTGCTCGCATTCAATGCATTTCAGTCGGGCGCAGTCGCGTAGGTCTGTGCGCGTGAGCGGGTCATGCTGCCCCTCGCACCGGATGAGACCCCCCCCTATAACACCCCGGCCCCTCCTATTTCCGTCGGCCCCGGCCTGCCATGTCTGTGTTGACAGGCAGCGCCGCGTTCGCCAGCAGCAGCGCCGCAATCCCAGAGGATGACCCGGCCGACGCGGCCGGCGGCGGCGACTGGCGGGAGCTGCCGCCGGGGCACTTCATCTCAAAGGGCCATACGCTGCAGCAGTTTGCGCTCACGCCGGCGCAGCTGCAGGTGGGTTTGCGGTCGCGGTTTTGCGGCTCGCGCGATTGCGCTGTTTTGGAGGGCAGTTACTGCGTTTGCTTCCTTGATTCGGCCGCACATGGGCTCTGCTGCTCTTGCCAGGCACGGTGTCAGTGCCCTGCAGCTACCCGACACCCCGGCAGCGACTGTGCAGCCGCCCACAACCGCCTCAACTCCCGACAACCGCCCTCACCCGCTACGCCAGGTCCGGGAGCTGAACGGTAACCTGGCTCCCAGGGCGCCGGCGCCGCGGCCCCCCAAGGGCCGCGCGAGCCTGGAGAACAACATACGCCAGGGCCGCGATTTGGAGAGCCTGGACCTGTTTGGGTTTGGCATGGACGTCTGACGGGGCCGCCGGCGCAAGACTCGCTGCTCATACCACGTGGCGCGGCTCATATCCGGCGTCCTTGGGGGGGGCGTGGGGAACGAAATCCTGGGCTTGGCGTGGCTCTTGCCGAAACATGGCTGTGGGGCTGTGCGGCGCTGCGGCAAGCAGCGCTGCAAGCATGCCCTCTGACCCTGCGCATCGTTGATGGCAGCGCAGGAGGAGCAGAACCACCGCAAGATGGTGCACATAACACAATTAATCTAGCCGACGCATCGGTGAAAAGGCAACATGGCTGCCCGACCGGCCACTTGGGCCCCGCACACCACAGCGCGGCGCGGCGCGGCATCCCCGGCTGCTTGAGCCGCTGGGTGGGCCATATGCAGGCCCGCGGCGCACCTGACAGCCATTCGCCTCCCCTCTCACGCATTTTGCTCACGATTGCTTCACCTTACTCTTTTGGTTCTTTGGCCAAAGGGCGCGCCGCCGCCAGAGCAGAACATGACAACCGCATTCATCCCACGTCCTGCAAACCTGCAGCAACTCCTCTAGGCCGCATATCTTTTCATCTTTGTCTCTACACCACTCTTTTCTCTAGAGCGTCGCGCCCAGCTTGCCACAGCCTCCACGCACGCACGCGACCCGCCTTTGCGGCGCCGCTCGTGCCGCGGCCAAGCCATGAAGCGCCCCGCCTCGTGAAGACGAGTTGGCGTCAAACCCCTATTGTCCCTGCCGACCGTTCGTCGCACTGCTGTCGCAGTCCCCGGGATCTCACTCGTCAGATTCACAGTTTGCTGCACCACTGGGCAACGCCCGCCTCGATGACGGAGTCGTCCTGACCTAGCCCACTGATCACGCTCCGCACTTTTGGAGCGCTCAAACGAACCCCATCTTTTGGCTGCTTGAAGCGCTCTGCACGCTGGGCCCACTGTTGTGATCGGTCCGCCCCCCTGTGTAATCGTTGCTCCCGGACACCCCTCCGCGTCACTCTAGCCTGCTGCAAGCCATGCTGGATCAAATTGCGCCGTTGTTGCAGGTACGAAAACAAATGTCACAGGTTGGATCGCGATGTAAGTTCAGGTCAAATAAACGGCAAAAGCTGCCACTGCTTCGGCAGCCCAGAGCGTTTCTGTCCAGTCCGAGCCACTGCTGCAGTACCCCAGGCCCCGGCGTTCACGGCGCGTCCGCACCCGCCTCTGCCGCCTCGACGAGCACGCGCATTACCGCCTCCCGCCCCAGCCCCATGACGCTGTCCTCGCCGCCGCCCTCGATTCCTCGGACGTGCGGCCGCACCAGAGGGTGCTCCACCATCAGGCCCCCCGCGCACCACAGCACCTCCCCCTCCTCGATCAGCTTCTCGGCGGCTTCCTCGGGCAGGGGGTCCATCAGGATGGTGCAGTTTTCGACGGTCCCTATCCGGACGTCCCCTCCGCCGCCGCCGCCTGCGCTGCCGCCGCCGAGGCGAGTGCAGAGGACGGACCCGACAGTCTGGGCCGGGCTGCGCGCGTAACCTCGGATGAACGCGCGCGCCTGGTCGGCGTCCTCGGGCTTTTCGAGGATGAGCCCTTCGTGCACCACGACTTGGTCGCACGTGATCAGGAAGGACGGCCGTGCGGCGGCGCCACCCGCGGCTGCGGCGCCGCCGCCGCCACTTGTGCTGGCCTCTGCCACAGAGTCGTCCGCGCTGGCCCCGGCCCCGGCGCCAGGGCGGTCGCCGGGGCCGGCGGCCGCCGCCTCTGAGCGCAGCAGCGTGAGGATGGCGTCTGCCTTTGCGTGTGCGAGCGCCATCACCAGCTGCGCCGGCTCATCATGCCGGATCGCCTTCTCGTCAATGTCCGCCTTGCGGACGTCGTACGAGAAGCCGAAAGCCTGGTGCGCCGGGAAGAGTGCGGGCGGGGGGCATGGGTGGACGGGTGGCGTGCGGCTCGCAGGCCCGGGATGCATGGGCAGCCTGAGTGTGGCCCACCGCACCTGTGCGAGCTGGTCCATGACGGCCCTACGGCTGCTGCTAGCCGTCCCCAGGATAATGCGAGGCTTAGAGGCTATTACATGTGCAAATTTTGCCTCTAGCTGCGCCATGGTCGTCAATTCAAGTGCCCCAGATCAATGGGAGTGATCAAGGCGGCAAACGAATGTACAATATGCCGTAGTTCACTGCTTAAAGCTTGAAGCCTCTTGAATCCGTTATTATATGCGGCCGCAGTCGTACCAAACATACACGTCCTCACTGCTGTCCACACCACCTCCGGTGTTATCTTTCTTCTGTGAGAAATAGCAGAGTTCAAACAGGCGTTAAGGTTCATTGCAAGCGACCGGGGCAGGAGGTGGCCGTGCGCGTTGCCACACCCACAAAGCGCAATCCCGGCCTGCCCGTGTGCGCAACCGCAGCGCGGCTGGGCAGCGGCGGGGTACGGGCCCTGAGGCAGCATGGGCCGCAGTAGGAGCCGCAGCAGGGAGCGCAAGCGCGGCCGCAGCCGCAGCCGCAGCCGCGATCGAGATCGGGACGGGCGCGGCAGCCACCGGGACCGCGGCGGCGAGCGGCGCCAACGGGACGAGAGCGACAGGCGCGGCAGCCGGCGCAGCAGGTAGGCTTGAGGGGCAGGGTGAGGCGATTGAAGTCCTGGCCTGACAGCATCGGCGGCGCCCCGTTGGTTGCACTTGACAGCGACAGCCCCCATACCACGGGCACTGCACCGGAGCCCGTCTGTAGTGCTTCATCCGCCACACACCAGTGCCCATCCTCTATCTGCCTGCGTTTGGCAGCAGGAGCAGGAGCAGGGACCGCAGAAAGCGCAGCAGGAGCCGTGAACACAGGCGCAGGAGCAGGAGCAGGGAGCGCAGCAGGAGGAGCAGGAGCCGGAGCAGGGACAGGGAGGCGCGCCCCTCCGCGCCCGAACCGGCGCCCGCGCCGGCCGCGCCCGCGCCCGCGCCCGCTGCTGCTGCCGGCGCCGCGCCGCCCGTCGACGAAGCGGAGGCGAAGCGGCGGCGGTTAGAAGCGTGGCGGGCGCGCCAGCAGCAGCAGAAGCAGGAGCAGCAGCAGCAGCCCGCGGCGCCGCCCGCAGCTGCCCCAGAAGCAGCGGCCCCCGCCAAGGTCTGGCTCCCCTGGGAGCAGCCCCCGCCAGAGGCGGCGCCCGAAGGCGCGGCTCCTGCGCAGGCGGCTGCGGCGGCGGGCGGCAGCAACGGGGCGGAGGGCGGCGGCAGGGTGTGGATGCCCTGGGAAGACCCTGAAATTGCGGCCGCGGCCCCACCCGCCGCCGCCGACGGGGCCGTGCCGCGTGCAGCTGCCGTCTTTGGCGCCGACGACGAGGACGAGCCCGCCATCGCCCCCGCGCCCTCCGCGGCCGGCGTCGCCGCGGCGGTCGCGGCGCGCAAGGCGCGGCTGGCGGAGGAGGAGGCGCGGCGGCAGGCGGAGGCTGCGGAGGCGGGCGATGAGGAGGTCGACCCGCTTGATGCGTTCATGTCTGAGGAGGTGAGCCATTGCATCAACATCTGGCCCTCGCCGCTCAATTCTTACCCCGGCTGCCGGATCCTGGCGCAGCTATCTTTGGCCGGCTCTCGCGGCCGCGCCGAGCTTGCTTGCGCGGGCCCCCAAGCTTCCCTGGCGTCGCCACGGCACATCTCCCTTCTGTGCCGGCCCCTCTGCCGTTGTGCACGCCCCCACAGTTTCCTCAACAACCCCACCATGATGCATGCCCCCGCAAACCCCTCAACCAAGACACACGCTCTGACACACACACACACAGACATACACACACACACACACTCACGCACCCTATGCGCCCACGCGCCCGCGGTCCGTCACCGCCAGGTTCTGCCCGAGGTCAAGGCGCGCCAGGCGGCGGAGGAGGCCGCGAAACAGGCGGAGCGCGTGAAGCTGGCGCAGGCCATGGCGGCCGGCAAGGCGCCCAAGCTGCCCGCGGTGCGCAGCGGGGCCCTGGAACACCCTCGAACCTAGCGGGACCTACGGAGCAGGGTGTGCGATGTCAAGAGGGGAATGAGGCGGCGCTGTCTTGACTGTTGTCAGCCGGGAACCGCTTGGCGGCTGATTCGGGTCTTTTGGTGGTGATGTGACTTGATCCGATCTGATCTGATCTGTATGCGCGTTGACCCGCAGGTGCTGGATGACAGCGACGAAGAGGAGGTCCCAGATCTGGAGATCCAGGTCAGATCGCTGCCCGTGGCTCGCTTGCTTTTCTACGATATTGCACTGCCACATTTGCCTGCGGGCTTGCCGGTTCCTGCCGATCATGTTGTGGCGGTGGGGCTGGCACACGGGCGTCGCCCCCGGCGCGCTGCTCGCCGCACCCCGGCGCGCCAGCGCCACGCCCGCCTTGCGGCCCGTCTGGCACGCCCGGCTGCGGAAAAAGCCGCGTGCCCCTCGTCCCTGCGGCGCCGCCCCGCGCTTAGCCCAGGTGCGGGCGGCAGCCACGCCCCAACGCCACCCACTCACCCCCACAAATGTGACCTCCCACCACAATCGACTGCCCCAGGTGCCGACCAGCAGAGTGAAGCGCATCGTGGGGCCGGGGGGCGCCACCATCAAGGAGATACAGAAGAAGAGCAAGTGGGGCGGGATGTCGGGGGG